GCCACACCACATCTCCCTTGGGAGAGTGACGGGTCACTCTCATGTAACCCCGTTACAATTTCTCACCACCCTTGTTTTGTGCTTCGCACGTCTTTGACGTCACACAATTCCCTAAACATCACGATCTGAGACCACTTGTTTTGTCTACAACCCCTGTCATATCTGGAGATCGCGATAAACGAGCTTTTTTTAGTCCGCGGCTCACTACTTATCATGTCTCTAAGCTCACTTTAAAAATTTGGCGATATCTATGCTACTTGATTCAAATGATTATACGCCCTGGACCAATGTTGTAGCGGCTACGTGCCCGCACCAAAAGCACTTCTGTCTCTTGTTGGAGGGGGGGGTCGTGACACCAAACCTTCACTAGGAGAGAAATGCGTATCACCTCATTTTTGAAAAGTCCGATCGAGCAATTGCTAATGGCGTTCAAACCGCGTCAAACTAGGATTAGTGCCCACGGCGAGTCAACATAATAAATATAAAAAGTTCTTAAAGTTCACGAAAACGTCAAGAGAACATTTGACATTGTAACGAATACCTCTGTCGCAAGACACGCGAAAGCATATCAGTATTTTGCCTCTTCAGTTCCTTCACGTACTTTCTAGTATCGTTTCGCAGTCTCATGCCCTTGGTTATTGGATGACGCTTGTAAATCAGAACCTGTCACGGCATTGCAAAGCATGTATATTACCCTGCATCGCCGAGCACCGTACCATGTATTGCTACGAGAGAATCTAGGCGCCACTTATTTCTTCAACCGCCAAAAGGTAAATTAGACTTGTGCCAGAAATCACGGCGGTCTACCTAGACTTGAAGTTTCCACGCAAGAAATCTGTTGCAGACTATGTGGTTAATATAATTGTCACGTTTTTGAAAACAAGTCAGTTGTCATTCTGGCTCAGCTTCTTATCGAAGCTAGATATAAACGAGCGAAAGGACAAAAAAAATTATCGCACATGATATACCTAGACTGGCTTTACGAGTACCCGCGACTTCGGTCGCTTCAACGCTTCACACGCAGGGTTTACCTCTTCTGAACACTACCTGACAGTCTTGTGGCATAGAGACCGCTAGCGCGATGCACCGATACTTTGTCTAGGGCATGGTTATAGTGACTGCTATACTAAATCACGCTTACCCAGTGAGCGTTTGGCTTTGTCTTTGTGCTTTTCGCACAAGGCAATAAGCGGCTTTACTGTAACAGCAGTTGTGCTCTCATGAATGCCTGGTTGAGGCGTGCATGCAGGTATTACACCAGCCTTTTCTTTATTTCCTGACAGTGCATACAAGCGAGCGATTTTGAGCTATGAGCACTCGGGTCGCAAAATTTATTATCTTTTCGGGACTAACCAAAATTTTGAATGCATTAAGCCTCTCTAGTTGCTGAGATGACACCCATTTGAATGCCTTTCCTCTACCACCACCGAGAATACACTTTATCAAAGCTCACATGTTGAAAACAAATGTGATACCAAGAGCAACGAAGTCACCCTATACAATTGTTGACCCAGCAAGTCCGCATTTACAAACACAGAAGAAGAGTTTGTTTAATCGAAGTTTTAAAAATCGATATGCTTTGAGTACTCTGCTGTTTCGTGACTACCATAGATTTTTGATGTATTCCAATTTGATTTTTTCAATTAAATTATTATATTTTACACAGAATAAATCTGTTTGGTATGCTCAAAAGTTTATTCAGATTATGGAATATCACGAGGCTAGAAGTCCGCGTCGATCACGGAATTCTATTCCCCTCCAACAGTACCAGTACCTTGATGCTTCTAAACTTTGCTCTAAGCTCAAGAACAGTGGTTGGATATGTACGTCACCATAGTACGGTACTTTCTTTGTTAGACTGTTCATCGTATAGCTGTACAAGCTTGCTTCAGTAGACCAGTCATCAGACTAGGGCATCATTTAGTCCTTGATTTTGCAAAGTCTACAGTCGGCTCTACTCGTCGAGGTGAATGCTATCCACCTCACGCAATTTATTTTCAGCCCTGCTCATCTCAACAAACTTACCGGTATAGCAACTGGCCAAGTATTCAACTTGAACCAAGGGATAATCTTATATTTTATTACAGGAGAAAAAGAACACATATGGTACGCCAGATTATAAGCGGCAACAAGGCCAGGAGAATTTGTGACGCATGGACATCTGAATAACCTTTGACGAATTGAAGTATGTTCGCATTGTTTGGAGTACAGCATAAAACCTTTCTGGCTACGAGCGTAAACTGTGCGACGAAGCAAAATTGTAGCTTAATCTTATGCGCTCTAGACACTTTGAGTAGATAGGGTTAATCGCTTTTGATAAAAAAAAATCTGCCCACAGCATATATACGCATGTTCTGCCGGCCTCTGACATCGGCATGTTGTTTTTGTTCAACCCATAGCGTCGCGCACTAGGTGTATGGTGCCTAATTTTTTCGATAAAAATCTGCGATGTTGCAAGGCTAATAAAAGCAAGATGCATTATAACGATAGACCCTTCCCAACCAGAATTGTAGCTTGTGTAGCGGTGTCAACGGGGTACGGAACTTAACTAAATAATATAGTCACTTCGGGAGAGGTATGTACCGCATTATTTTACGTAAGCTGAACGTGAGAGCGATGTAATTTAGCACTGCTGTCTTTCTGCCCAAGTGCTTCAAAAATTTTCTCAACACACAATAAACGCCTCTAGGTAGACTATTTGTAAGTGTATCATCAGTGCTGGAAACATTTGATCTGGCGTCAAGCGCCATAAGCAAAGCAACAATTACCATAACATGCTGTAACGCATTATTCTCTATCCAATACAGCGAAAAAAGCAAGCAGCATGAACGAGCAACCAATCGCTTAGAAAAAGTTACATAAAACTCGATAGCCTCTCGTTCCCAGACTATCTAAAAAGCAACACGCTATGTATCTCTTAAGCAATGATTATTGCCTCTTTCACGTCGTAACACTCGTGGCAACTTCCGACCCCAGGAAGCGCCGTTCTTGGTCCACTCACAATATTTCGCTGTTAATCAGGCATTCACACTCGCAGGCAGAGATGCTGAATTTTACTACCACCTCATGTTTGATATCAATTACGATGATACAACCCGTATAGCGTACGATGGGCTGTCGTAATACTAACTCATGAAGATCGAAATTGCTATGAAAGACACAAGAGACGCCTTCCATGGGAGCTGTGAATCAAACACCACATCAATTTGGAGGTAATAGCTGTCACAACAAGTCAAGCAGCTTATAACTACTAAGGAAGGCACTCATGTATATGTGTTAGAGTTACACAAAACAGCGTCAGCACAGAAACGTCACAAGATGTGATGGGTGTTGTGCAGAATGTGAAGTATAACAACCCTGCCCAACGGTTGGATTGGGTACAGAATAAAGCTCTTTGAGCACACCAGGGTGCTCGATGCCGCTGAGCAATAGACGATGCTTTATCTGTGACAGAATAAATCTACTCCTTGCGCACTTCCTTCAATCACGACTGGAGATACGGAGGGTAAATGTTCCATGCATGGGTCGCCGACGAAGGTGGCGAAGGGAGCGTCGAGTTTTAGTAGGCTACATGCGCCAACTGGGAAAGAACTGGGCTATTCTGCACCTCGTGGGTCCAGTCGCTAACGATGCGACTTTCTGAAAAAGTGAAGCTCACAGCCCAGGGTAGTTGCTTTTTGATTTCAACGTCCCGGACTTTTTAAGCCGTTGAAAGTCTGTAAAAATGTAGCGTCGTGCAAAAATCGCATGACGAACGGCTGTCCAAACTAGGAGACTGCATGCAGAGACATCGAGGATACGGCGACCAAATCCGCGTATTTTGCGACGGACACTCAGAGGTTTTTTTAGCTTCAATTGAAATCTGAATGTTTTGACAGGTGTGGTGTTGCCGCAGAATGACTTGGTGTCCCACATTGTCTTCAGATTTAGCTTTGAGGAGTCGTGTAACTATAGCTGACACGCTTTGGTGTACGCGTCAAGCTGCGATACCATCTATGCAAGACGTGGCATCGGTTAAAATTGAAAGCAACAAACATGAAAGGCAGAAGCGGCAGTGAACCACAGACTCAGGATGAAACCAAAAGGTATTTTGATAATTCCGGACATTAAAGTGTATCTATGTTGAGACGGGGAGAACACCTTCATTTCGTTGTCTCTCGGGTCTTTCGCTGGCAAGGTTGTTGAAACCAGCCGCGAGCTGAGATAGGTCCGTGGGAAAGTACAAGCAGCTGAAATCACTAGATTATTGGAGTTGAGGGGCGATAGCAATTTTCAAGGAGAAGGACAAACTCAAAAGGATGATACATCAATGTTATGATGTTACATTACTAACTCCTCCTAATCCTCGCACTCAATGCTCTCGACTGTGCTTATTAACAAATCTATCCATGACGGATGTTGCTTCTCTACAAGGCCATACTTTTTAGCGACTTCCTCGTCTTTTGATTTCGTTCATATACGTTTACGAACAAATCTCCTGCCTTACGGACATCCACCGGCGGTTGAAGAGGAAGCTTGTTCCCCCGAATGCTGTTCCAGTCACTTCGTTCGCACGAAAACAATGATTCTCGGCACTTACACTTGAGGCTCCTCTGCTCCGCATCGTGAATTAGTCACACAATACATATTTGTTTAAAGATTTTACAGTTTAATTAATCCTTTAGTGACGGACAAGAGACCCACCACGAGTTCAGTCTCCGGATTAGGAAGCGCGCCATAATTTTGGCTTAGCCGAATAGTTTCCGGGACAATTCTTGTGTCGCACGGCAATGGCTCTGCATAAGAAACGTTGACGCTTGATCCTGTACAAAGCACGAAGCATGTTTGGAAAGAGAGTAGATCTCCTTCTCGTGTACTTTCTGTGCAGTGAATTGACATGCTAACTGTAACGGGGTCACACAAGATGGTGTGGTCGCACAATGGTGTGGGTTACACAAGATGGTGTGACCGCAAAATGGTGTGGCTGCGCTTAACCAACAAGTCGGTAACGTCGCTGGAACAGCCAGTAGTTATACATTTAATTAGGTTTACTAAATATAAGAACTTATAGACTAAGATATAGGTGGCTTTGTTGCAAATAAAACCGAGAATACAGTTTACATTTTAACAAAAGAGTAAATTAGCCTCGGGTTAAAACTGTAGTTACTCTTGGAGTAAGCAGATTGCGGTAAAGCGACGGTGTTTGAGGATCGTGTCTTTCGACAACTTGGACTCCTGGAGTCAATTTACTCTGACAGAGACCCACGCTACACAGAAAGTTTTGGTCGACGATCTTCAGGGTGCTAGGCACCAGGTTGACTATGTCAACAGCAGACCATTCGCAGACCGATGGCCAGAGTGAGTGCGTAAATTGCGTCGCTGAAGACGTTCTTCGCAGCGTCCGCGCTGAGACGTCGAAGTGCTGGAGCACCATGCTGCCACTTGTGGAGTTTGCTCTGAACAATGCAGAGCATGCGTCTACCGGCTACACACCGTTCTACGTAACGGGCTCGTTTATGCTCACCTCCTGCTGACGCCGCCATCCCATAGCTCACAGCTTGGTGGGGGAGGAATATCCGAGCGGCTCACTGATGTCAGCCCCTCACCGTTCGTAATGAAGTCGATGACTACTTATCTACCAGACTGAGTATCTTACGACATGTTCGCGATGCGATGGCGCAAAGCCAAGAAATGCGGAAAGAATATGCAGATGGAAAAGGAGAAGAAATATTGAAAACTTTAAGGTCGGAGACCTGGTTTTAACAAATGAAAAAACTTTCCTACACATGCTGTCTTTAAGACGAAGCACCGTCCACGGTTTATTGAACCTTTTAAGGTCGTGGCCAAGCGAGGTCTTGCATATACGCTAAATCTTTGAGAAGGATGCGCATTCACCCAGTGTTTATGTAGGCTTGCTTAAGCCGTACCGGGATCCGGCGCAAGTGAACGCGGAAGCGCTGGTGTCGGGGCGGCGCCCACAAGCGCTCGACCACCCAGAAGCTAGACCATCAACTGGTTTTGAGCACGGAGTGCAACAATTTCTGTTTCCAACGGCGCCAAGCGCTTCACCGCCGCACGAAGCGACGCATTTGTCTGCTCGACGGCTATGAGCAGCTCCGAAAGAGCGCGGTAGGCCTCATCGTGAGGCAGTCGGTGCACAAGTGCTCCAAGCTCTCAAGGTCTTCCGCACAGCGGTTGGCGTCCTCGGAAAGATGCTCGGCGGAGTGCCGTGGCGATGGCCTTTGTCTTCAAGAGCTCGAAGAACATTGCGAGTCACCGAACGACGATCGACCTAGTCGTCATTGCCCGCCGCTGATTTCTCTCGACGAGAACGGTGGCGTCCATTATCACGTAGAACTATGTCGTCGACAGGGTCAAACCCAATATCTTGAGAAGTGGTGGGAGTATTCCACTGTACCCATCGCTAAAAGAGCTCTTCATCATCTGCAGCGATTTAGCCAGGGGCGAGTACTAAAGAAATGGTCCGCATTGTGGGTACAGGAGCGTCTCCTTTTGAGCGCGAAGTACCTATGTATTGGGATTTCTTCAGGTACCAAGAAGCAAGCTCCGAGGGCTTTCCGCTGGTCAAGCTCAGCTTGTGTAGTGGCCGGAGGCCCGACTTCGTAGACGCCTAACGATCGAGTGATCGCGTCTTTCGCTTCAGTAGCGGATTCCGCCGAGCGGAAGCCGATTTCCACACGAGAGTCGAGACCGAACCTGGATACGAGCACATGCGAGCCGCCCTGTGAGCAGCCTCCAACTGCTGCAACCTGTGCCCCGTCGAAGCGATTGGTAATGATGCCACATCTACCGGAAGTGGGGAGGTCGAAAAACGGACACGGAGTCCGGAAAGTCCGAGCAGGGCTCACGTCGCGCCGTTGGCGCACCTCGCCCTTTTCATCCTCCCATCTTGGAAAAGAAGTAAACGGTTCATAGTAGACTTCCTCCCAAATCATCGCCGAGGAAATCCGTCACCCGTGGCGGGCGCGGTCTGCAGTA